AACTGAAATTCACACGCATAATAATTAAGGATAACTTGGTGCGACCGGGCCTCAAATATCGAGCTTGGAAGGCCATACATAATTATTAAGTCCAATTCAAGAATTTTTAATTTAATTTATTAAGCAAATACATTTCTAAAACATTTTGAAATAACACACATAATAATTAAGTATAGCTTGGTGCTACCGGGCCTCAAATATCGAGCCTGGAAGCCATTCATAATTATTAAGTCAAATTCAAGAATTTTTAATTTAATTAATTAAACTAACAAATTTCTAAAAAATATTGAAAATGACACACATAATAATTAAGTATAGCTTGGTGCTACCGGGCCTCAAATATCGAGCTTGAAAGGCCATACATAATTATTAAGTCCAATTCAAGAATTTTTAATTTAATTTATTAAACAAATAAATTTCTAAAATATTTTGAAATAACACATATAATAATTAAGTATAGCTTGGTGCTACCGGGCCTCAAATATCGAGCCTGGAAGGGCATACATAATTATTAAGTCCAATTGAAGAAATTTTAATTTAATTTATTAAAGAAACAAATTTCTAAAAAATATTGAAAATGACAGACATAATAATGAAGGATAGCTTGGTGCTATCGGGCCTCAAATATCGAGCCTCGAACCCATAGATAATTACTCAGTCCAATATTAAAAATAATTATTTAATTTATTAAACTAACACACACACAATTAATTTTGTTTAAATTATAGCAGACGACATGGCCTTAGGTGGTTGGAAGCGGAGAGTAAATGGCAACAAGGACTAAACATTGGCATGTATGTGTTTAGCGTATTTTTCATATTTCATGTATTTTTATTATGTTGGGCTGCTACGTTTGTGTTTGTGCTATAGTAATGTTTTTCTTGTTTGTTGTACTAAATTTTATTTTAATTGAAGTGGAAGTTAAGTTTAAGTGCTTGTGTTGTACCACGCTTTACATATTACATTTTCCTGCAATTAAACAGTTTTTTCTTCACTCATTCCAGATTGCCGAACATAATTTTATTTGATATATATTGCAACATACACAAGTACAAACACGTATTACAAAAAAGAATACCAAAACAAAAGACTAGGGGTATCCTTGATAGTTGGGTACATTCGACGAACTTGCACCAGGAGTCGGATTACCACCGGCACGCACACCACCTGAAGGACATTTACGATGGTCGTGTCCTGTTTGCGAGCATATGCCACATTTACGCGCATAAACAGTGTCACCAACATCCATTTGGTTCCGTATACGCGTTCTCTTTTACACTTGCAGCTTGCGCAAATAGTCCTTGTTACATACCATCTTAAAAGGTTCCGGCGGCCAATAATGCTCAGCACCTAATGGCTGCAACTTCCCACTATACGTGTCTACGTATACAACAACACTGTATTGCCTATCAATATAGTTTGTTGCCCCATATCCAACTTGTTGAAAGCACTTCAACGCATGTGCGCACGACATGTGGTAGGAGTAGATGGTCCATTTCCCACATGAACATAACCTTCTATTTTTATTCACCGTCTATAGATTATTCCCACGGTGTCCGCGGATAGCGGTCTTAACTTCAAAAACACCCCTTTCATGATCGTACTGAAGAAATGAATGCCATTGTGCTCGCCTCCTGGACCTTTCAAATCTTCTCATGGGTATTGGCATAAATTGAACACCCCTGTCCATCAATGCCGATGCAGCTGCATGCCTTTCAACAAACCTCTCCGCACTCTGTTTGAATGTCATGCGGACCATGGCAGTGACAGGCAATCCACGGGCAAACTTCAACAAGCCGTTGAATGACTCCGACACGTTTGTAGTGAGGGCTCCCCATCGTCTGCCGCCATCAGCATGCAATGTCCACATGTGAAGCTCACGTCGCATCAACAAAGTATAGGCTCGTGGATCTATCTGCCGGGTCGCTTCCATGCGCCTCGTGAATTTGCACTGTTGGTGCTCAGTTGCAGCCATCCACATTAAGTCATGCAAGGCCTTGTCAGGAAATTTCTTCTGGAAATTGGCCTTCAGGTGCCTCACACAGTAACGGTGGTATGCATATGGTTCCTGCCATTCAGGCAAGTGAAGTACAGAACTTAAAATACCACCATGCCGATCATATATTAGACAAATACCTGAACGCTGTTTGACAACGTGCTGCTTTAAGTGGTTCAAAAAAAGCGTCCACGTCTCTTCGCTTTCGTTGGCACATATGGCAAAAGCTAGTGGAAATATTTGTCCGTTGGCATCAACTGCAACTACAATCAAAAGCTTAATAATCATACTTTCCATAGACATGAGTACCGTCTATGGAAATTACAGGACGACAATGCACAAAACCATCAATTGCTGCTTTAAATGACCAGAACACATAGTTGAAAATATATTCGGGTCTGTCCGGACTCCGCTTACGCCTCCATTCAACAACAGTGCCGAGGTTAAAATGTTGCAGTGCGGCCATGTACCTGGGCAGATTTGAAAAAGACTTATCCCAGTCGCCATAAATAAGTTCAAAGGCACGTTTGCGACCGAGATATGCCTTTCTTTTGGTTATAGTACAACCATACTCCTGGTGGACGGTTGTAATACACTCTTTAATCTTGAACCTAATGGACACTTCCAAATATGGAATCAAGACAAGAGAAATCAAGTCCACATCCAAGTTGAAGTGATTCTCATTCAATGTGTCCATTTCACATTTGTGCTCGCTAATAAATTTACCCACTTTCCACAAACCTGATTTCTTCTTGCTGGCACTCAACATCCAGTGACAACCCATAAACCACCTACGGCACACAGCCTTGTATACCTCTGTAGTTGACTCACTTACCGTCATCTCACGACACTCTCTTATACTGTAGATTTTTACAGCCCTAATTAGGCGAGCTTTATCGGGAAAATACATGCCTTTTGTCAGAACAGCTGGTCTAGACTCATCCCACATCGCTGACCGAATTTCATCATCATCCCTTGTGAGGGCATCCACGTTCGGCATACTTGGAAAATTATCAAGGTAGGGTATATTCCGCTCATGAAATGGCACGTGGGATTCGTACACTCTTTGTCTAGCGGGAGGTGGAGGAACATGCTCCCTCGTCAGCTCAGGTTCAACATTCACTTCCTCCTCATCATCACCCTCATCATGGAAGGGTGTGTCATCCCCAAACTCATCCGCGTTGTTGTCATAATCACTATCATCTTCCTGACTCTGCGCATCAGCCAAATCACGAGTCAATACGTCGTCTATGGGCAACTGTGTGAGGTCAGGAACATCAAGAAGCTCGTTTTCACTGCACAAAAACAACAAAGTGATAAGTTACCCAACTACATAAATACATTTGATATAGCTATATCAATTTACTTACAAGTCGCACTGTCTTGACGTTTCATGATGGATATTTTCTTGTTGGTGATGACTCCCGGATGGACCACCGTGCTCCAAACTTCCAGAACTACGCATATTCCAACTAGGGACGGGGTCATAACTTGTAAAATTCATATCCGGACGGTACCCCCTATGAAAAATATAAGTGTTAATACAAATCCAATTAAAATATAAAATAAACATCGCTAAAGCGTAGTAAAATTAAAGTTTACCAGTCGTCTTGTTGATAATATAAAGTCGAAATTTTTTTTGTGGCTGCTCATTCGCCGGTGGTGACATGTTTAAATCAAGGCAAGCTCTTTCATCAGCAATCTGTCCGGCAAAAACTGCTCCAGAATAACCACCCGATGACTGGGGGTTATCCCTACTATGCACGCCCTCATTATTGGGAACGTCTTCCACCTTGACGTACATTTTCAGTAATTTTATTATAATAAATTCCCTGTATTCATCCGGAATCCGCAAAAAATCTCTAAGAGTTTCATCATCCTCGATGTTAAACTCAGAATAATAAGCAAACCCCTGTGGAGTCACTGAATACGGAAACCTACCGGTTACTTTTAAGGTTAACCGAACGCTTCCTCACACTCATTTTTTTTTTTACATAACAACGAAACTAATTTATCATACTCCATAGTAAGCGGTAATTTAACATGACACTGTAGAGGTGAGCTATGCCTCACAGAGTTATTCTCCAGCACAACCTCACCCCCTCAATATAATGGAACCCTTATTTTTGGCTCTTCAGACATTGTACAAAAATAATTGATAAGAAGAAGAGAGAAGTATGAACGGAAGTTAAAAGTTAGTATTGAATGAATTTTCATAAAACTGAAACGCCTTTAAATAAGGCAAGTCCGAGCCTGGGGTGCAGAATTTTTTTAAGGAATTCGCAGTACAATAATACGTTTTATGTGTTTGAATTATTGTTATGTCAGTTAATTATTGGTGGGGCCAAATCAGTAATTCGCAGTACAATATTGCGAATTAGCTAAATTTTTTTTTTTAATAATACGCAGGGCAATACTGCGAATTAATTTTTTTAAAACTAATTCGCAGTAAATTACTGCGAATTACATTTTTTATAACTAATTCGCAGTAATTTACTGTGAATTACTTTAACAGCTAAAATTCCGTTAAAGTAATTTGTACTATAGTACTGCGAATTATGTATTTAAGTAACTTTTTTTTTTAGTAGTAAAAATGTATTTTCTGTCCAAAAAAATATTAAAAAAATTTCGGCCCCCAAAGAAGAGAACACAGACAGAAAAGAGAAAGAAAAAAAAGGTAACAGCGGTCTTCTCATATTAATTTTAATGGAGTAGTGGCCACTTTTGCTGCTGATTAAAAATGGAGATTAAAAAGTAAATAACACTTTTTGCTACCCGCGCAATTTTTACTTACTCTATACTATCAAATGCATTCTCGCGCTTCACCAAATTGATACCACCATACTCCCCTCGCCGGCGAACTCCTCCACCGGCACCGTTGATCTCTTTCTCCGGTGAATTCTCGCGTCTGTAAGTTTCTCCTTTTTCCTCTATTATACTGCTCCCAGTTTTAGTTAGTTTTCTTGTTTGGTTTAATTCAATTTGTAGTATTTTTTTTCTTTTGTAGAAGAATGTGGAAGTTGAAGGTTGGTGAAGGAGATAATCCATGGCTTCGGTCGTTGAACAATCACGTAGGACGGCAGGTCTGGGAGTTTGATTCGAACATCGGGTCTGAGGAAGACCTAGCTGAGATCGAGAAGTTTCGCGAAGAGTTTCGCAACAATCGGTTTGAGACAAAACACAGTTCTGATCTTCTTATGCGTTATCAGGTGGAGTGATGATCACTGAAATTTACCTTCTCGCAAATTTCTACCACATTTCTTGATCCTTGATGTTGTTGTTGTTTATTATTATTCTTGTTATTGTTATTGTTACTGTTATTTTTGTTATTATTGTTATTGTTGTTGTTTCTCTCTGTGGAAATTGGAAAGATGTTTGGGGATTTGCTATGTACTTATGTCAGCTTCAAAGCTTAATTCTTATGTAGATTTGTACTTTGTGCTCTATAGTTCTCTGCTACTTTGTGTGAATATTCCTCCTCTTTATTGAAGATTCTAAGATTTTTTTGTGTTACATATATATCAGAGAGGATGTGAAATTCTTTGTTAGCGCTTTTACTTTACATCCTATGCTTTTCCAAGAGTTGTTTAGTCTATCAGAGATTTATATGTCAGTTGAAAAATATAATGAACTTCTAGTGCTTTTTTATTTTATTTTTTATTTATTATTATTTTGGATAATTTTGGCCTCGGATGAGTTTATATGGAGTAACATGGTTAGTGAGGATTCATATAGCCGACTACAACTTGGTTCGGACTGAGGCATAGTAGTTGTTGTTGTTGTATATCGGGATGAATTTGACAGACGTTTGTGATATCAGATTGTATATGTTTCTGTGGACACTTCGCCAAAATAATACTATAGCTATATGCGCTGGCAGTATTAGTTTGATTGCTTCCAGAATTACTTAGAAGTACTGATTGTATGCTTCTATCAGCTCATAATAATCTTGTATCCTGCGTGTAACTTTCACATGGACAAGAATGGAATATGTGTTGGGGTGTTTTAGAACCTAGTCTACAATTTGCTAGGTGACTTGCAGCATGACACTCATTATTTCTTTTAGCAGCTGTTCTAGGTGAAAAAGATAGCGGCATTTGATCCTTGTGAGTATCTCCCATACGAAGTAGTCGTTATCACATTCTTCTTTGTTTTCTCTTCTGAATTTCAGTTTTCAAAGGAGAACCCCTCGGGTACAATTTTGCCCCAAGTCCAAGTTATTGACATTGGAGATGTAACCGAAGATAATGTAGCCACCACATTGAAAAGGGCTCTCAGTTTTTATTCTACTCTACAAGCTCATGATGGTCACTGGGCAGGAGATTATGGAGGGCCAATGTTTCTAATGCCTGGCCTGGTAATTGCTTTTCTTGCATTGATTGGTTATAAAATCACATTCCTATTTATTTCATGGCTTGAAATTATGCTGGACAATGGGCGAAAGCCCGATCTAGCAATATCGCGTGAGTGAAGAAGGGCAATGCCGCTTGTAAAGCTCTTTCGTCGAGTGCGCGATCATGACAGGACTCGAGGAAGAAGCCCCGGCTAACTCCGTGCCAGCAGCCGCGGTAAGACCGGGGGGGGGGGGGGGGCAAGTGTTCTTCGGTTCCATAATTAAATTCAAGATAGATAGAAGGGAGAATGCCGCTTTAGAAAAAAAGAAAAATCATAAGGAAACATTATGAAAAGCAAAATCTATCTAAAGAGAGAAGTCTATTAGATAATTAATAAAGAAAAGAGAGCCAAAGAAGGAAGAGAGATTCCAAAGCTGGAATTCGAATTAGAACAGAAAAGAAATTGAAATGATGATGATAAAAAGTGAAAAGAGGAGTGGATAGCTAGCGCAAGGAAATGGCAAAGGGATATCCTTTTCCCTGAGGAAAAAGAGAAACCTCCTGATTAAATACTAAATAAAGTACATATACTTTTTATTCAAAAAAATAAATATATACAATAATCACATTATATACGATATTCCGCACTTTATGGGTGTTGACAAATTTGTTGAGGAAGTTGGGTTTGATTAGGCGAGCTTGGAGCAGTTGTGAGTAAATCTGGTAGGATTCCTCCCGCCAGGGGAGGCCGCGCCGGCGGAGTCATCAATGATTTTTAACGTTGGATGGGTAGGAGTGGAGAGAGTGTTTTTAATTTGACAAATTATCCTACTTGAATTAAATTTAAAATGGTGCCCAAGTTTATTTCTATACTAGATGAAGAGTGCCCGTGTGATCCCAACATATTAAGCATTCTGTTTGTTTTTTTGTAAGTGTTCTGCTGCCAATGGAATAGTGTTCCATCTGCAGATAAGAAATTGGGCTATCATAGGTAGCATGCTTTTCGATATAGAATACAAAATGGTAGGATGGTACAATATCCGCAAAAGAGGACATAAAAAGAATCTACAACAATACTGCTATACAGTCAACCATAAGTAGCAATTACAACTAGGTATTATTGATGCGATACCCATAAAATTTAGAAAATGTGTCTCTTCAAGTGAAGCAACCCGTCAAGAGTAAGCAGAACAAGAAAACACACTTGAGAATTTATCCCTGTAACCAAAAAGTGTTCATATAACTTGTAATGTGAAATCCATTACAAGAAATCTTACGCTTTGAGTATATGAATGAAGAAAATAAGCATGGAAGCTCGGATAGGTCACCTTTCATATCGTTTTCAGTGAGAGCCGCTCTTTCAATTGCTCAACTCTTTCACATGCTTCTCAGCTTTACTAAATGTTTACCCTAGAATCCGGATAACAATTGAATTTATATGGGGTTTTAAGGATCCGTGAACTAAAAGATACAAAAGGTTTAGGTTGAGGAAAAAATAAAGATAAAGACTCAACAATTGCTGTTAAAGTAAATAATCGCAGAATATAATATTGCTTAGAACAATTGTGCTTGATAGCGTACAAGAATTTAGAGAGATGGTACTGTAGTGTAATGGTTTTTTTTTCCGGTGCCCTCCTTATGGGGTCTTCTCCCCTTTTATACATTCCGATTAAGGGTAAAAATAAGGTAGGTAAATTAATTACATCGTGGATCCCTGTAATTACGCCTTAATGGCCTGAAGTGGTTGAGAAAATCACGTTTGGGCGAGATATCCGGCGACGCTTGGTTATCCGTTACGAGTCCGGCTTCCGACCTTGTGTGTTTCTCCATCCGGCGGTGACTCATATCGAGCTCTGCAACGGTCTCGAAATGACTCGACCTCGGTTGTAGACGTGGCCGTCGTTCTACCTTGTATCCAGGTCGGGTTCGATGGCCCCGACTTGCCCCGGACCGGACCCAACCCGGTCGGGCTCAAGCAAAAAAGGGTATCACCTAATACACTAAACTTAGCATGAAAAGTTGAATTATTGCCTTAATCAAATTGAATAGGAAAAATAGCAGTGCTTACTATGGTATGACTGACAGCCCAAGAAGTAATTACAATAATAATGAAGTAAAGAAAGACATTAAGGATCAAAAGCTGTTGTTAATTTTCCTATCCCTGAAGTCATGGCATGACAAGTTTAGTTTTCACAAAAGCAAAAAAGAAAAATTTTATTGCTAGTAATCACTTTCCAACCAAGTTCCAATATAACCACATTTTCCAGCTGAGAATAACCGAGCAATCCACACTTAAGTGAATATGTGAGTTCATAGGTTAAGGATAAATGACTTAATTGAGAAAAGCAAGCAAAAGTAGAGTCAATATCCACAACTCCAACATCATCTTCAAATGTACGTAACATCACATAGACACATCCTTCTTACTTTTTATAAGTTTGATATCGTATGATAGAAATGAGACCGCCATTTTGTGGAGTTGCTGATATATTTTTGTGAATTTTGTTCATAAAGAAGGGAATAAAACTTTATTATACCAAAATAAAAGAATAAACATATAATGCAACATGCAAACATGAAACTAAAAATCAAATGTACAAGGATATAGAAAAGCAGGTATTCATGTGAACAACCATGCATAAATTATTAGTAAACTATTTCCGTTTTGTTCTTTTTATCGTTCAAATGAAAATGATATAAAATGGGCAAATCTATCTCCGCACTAAACACCAAACCAAGAAAATTCATTTCTTATTATCCATAAATGGAGAAAAAGTTAGTTTTTCCCTTTACCATAAATTTCGATATATTAATAATGTCTAATATGGTTAATCTTTTTAGAAGTTAGCAACTTTTTTCTTTCTCTTTTTTGGAACCATCCAAATCAAGAAGCAGACATCACACTCTAGCCCTAAAAAAAAAAATTATTGTTATACATGTATATTTTTTTCCTTTAACATGAATTTTGATATATTAATAAACATCTAAAGTACTTTGAATTTATTTGTTACTTAATATTTTTCGTTTTGTGTTATAACCATCCAAATATGAGGAATGATTCAATGTAACTTTCTATAATTGAATAAAAATACGGTTGTTCATCATAGTTATATTAACTAGTGAAAAACTAACAACTGAAATCTTTCTTATTTGCAATGTAGTATATACATTGATTTAGGCCAGGATTTGGTATCAATTGTCAAAGTGTTGGAGCGAATGTGAATGTACCTGATGAAATCTTCTACTACAAATTAGTCCAAAAATATCAAGATCTTTTATTTCTCTGTGCATATACACTTACCGGCTTCATAATTAACTCAAATATTTTTAGCAGATTACCTCTTCAGTCTGGAGACGGCCCAGTGTTTGACGAAACAGAAATCTTCTAGGTCCTACAGGAAGAGGTCGTTTAGCTCAGCACAGAGGATAGCTTGATATTAGTTACTAAACGAGAAGTTTTATTGTGTGTCTCACACAACTTACATTAGTTGTGTGAGGCTCCTTTTTCTCTCACAAATTTGTGGACCCCAAATCTTACAAAATCTGGGTCCACAAAATTGTGAGACAAAACAGATGCCTCATACAACTAGTGTCAGTTGTATGAGACACAAAATAAAATTTTCCTTACCAAACAGTGTGCCGTTATTTTAACTAATGCAACTTAGGAAAAAACATTTTTGGAGGAAAATAAAATAAAACAAAAGACTTAGAAATGCACATACTTGTCTTTGGATCCTAGACTGATCTCTTGATTCCTCAAAATTGGCAACTCCTAATAACAAGAATCCATCTCGCTAGATGGTAAATCAAATATTATGTCAAGGTAAAACTCATTTAAAGAAACCATGTGTTATTTCAAGGGCAAACTCATTTAAAGAAATCAGGCTTAAATCATCCAATATTCACCTCCTTAAGGACATGATCTTCAAATTGTTTTAACAAGAGATAATTTAGTTAAAGGAGATGACCAAGTTTAGGGTAGTGACGATGCTGCAAGAGAATTTTCTTGACTTTAAACTAAACTAAGATCCTTCATAGAACATAGTAGATCAATTAATGCAGCTTCAAACAACAGACAATCACAATTTTCTGGAGCTGCAAGAAAGCTAGACAGCAAGAGGAAAAGGGCAGCAGATTCACCCTAGAAATCATCCCACTGCATTTAAAAAAGAAACACTGGAGGCTGCCGCAATTACAGTGATAAAAGAGAACAAAAATCTTAGCAAACTCCCTTTTAGTAGAGTTAATTGTCATCTGAAGAGGCTTAAAAAAACCCATTGTCTCAGCTTTCCTCTTAATCACTTTGGCTACATTCTCAATACAACTTCTGAATGCAGACATTCTCTACTCCATTCCAGGGCCTCACACTAAACCGGTACATTCTTTCCCTTTTTCCCATACAAAGCCCATCAAATACTTCCTTTATGGCAAAACCAGGACTTCAGAATATTTCTTAAGTTACACAATGCATGTGAAAATCTAATACGACCACTATCTGAAAGAAAGAAACTACCAAATACCCACTAAAATCATATTAGCTATGACAGAGTACATTAAAGAAAGCAAGAATAGAGAATAATTTACCAGAATTTAACAAAATAAAGCACACACCAGAGAAACTTTGAAATTAAATTAAGCAATTTGAAAAAAAAAAAACTCAATCAACGATGCATCGATGTGCAACAATTTCCAATACACCAAGCGAGAGGAGAAAAAATGATACCTTTCTGGACTGAAGTTGCAGTAAGAACTCCGTCTGCGTAACAGAATAGAAGATATTCACTTGCTATACCTGGAATTGCATACCAAGAAACTATGAAGCATTTGTTAAATATTGTATTAGTGTAGGAATCAGATAATACGTAACAGAAATTAATGTACGCAATAATCATGTAATGATAAACACTATCGCTACTACCTTTGCTCTATTTAGTTGCATGCCAAAAAGTAAGGCTAAACTGAGAAGACAGATTACTTATTCTTGCACACTATTATAGCCCAGCTCAGAAACCTTGCAACAAAATAAGCTTATAAAAGAAAGATGATAAATATTTGAGGCACAATAATGTTTTGACATATATTCTCAAAAAGAAAACAACTTATTCTACAAAGAAAAACAGAAGAAGTTCTATTCTTGCTATCACTAAATTTTTTAGTAAATTGTTTCACATACTGAAAATAACATATTATTCAAAGCAACAATAGAAAAAAGCATACCACTACTAGAAAATAAGCCTAAGGCAACGCCACATGTTCCGTTGCCATAGAAAAAAATCCGTTGCGATAAAGCTAGTGCCACGGTTTAACTTCTGTTGCGGGATCTTGCGTCGCTATTGGTCTATTGCAATGGCTTCAAGCAACGGTTTCATAACTGTTGCCATAGGCACATCTACTGCAACGGTTTTATCATGATCAAATCCAACGATTAATAGTGAGTTATGGCAACGATTTTGAACCACCGCTATTTGTGTATTGCGACGACTGACAACCGTTGCTATAGACATTACAACATTTTATACATTGTTTTGTTTTACCTGTTGGAACGGTTATTACAAGCTGATGCAACGGTTATACTGAGCTACTGCAACAGTTATACTGAGCTACTGTGACTGCTGTTGGAAGCTATTAACGGTATCGCAACAAGATAAATGTATAATACACTAAAATTAATATATAACTAATGAAATGAAAATATATTCATCAACAGAATCATATGTTTACCCTAGAATCCGGATAACAATTGAATTTATATGGGGTTTTAAGGATCCGTGAACTAAAAGATACAAAAGGTTTAGGTTGAGGAAAATAAAGATAAAGACTCAACAATTGCTGTTAAGGTAAATAATCGCAGAATATAATATTGCTTAGAACAATTGTGCTTGATAGCGTACAAGAATTTTTAGAGAGATCCCCCTATAGTGTAATGGTTTTTCCCCTTTTATACATTCTGATTAAGGGTAAAAATAAGGTAGGTAAATTAATTACATCGTGGATCCCTGTAATTACGCCTTAATGGCCTGAAGTGGTTGAGAAAATCACGTTTGGGCGAGATATCCGGCGATGCTTGGTTATCCGTTACGAGTCCGGCTTCCGACCTTGTGTGTTTCTCCATCCGGTGGTGACTCATATCGAGCTCTGCAACGGTCTCGAAATGACTCGACCTCGGTTGTAGACGTGGCCGTCGTTCTACCTTGCATCCAGGTCGGGTTCGATGGCCTCTACTTGCCCCGGACCGGACCCAACCCGGTCGGGCTCAAGCAAAAAAGGGTATCACCCAATACATCATAATTCAAAATATACAACTACGATTATCCATTTATAAAAGTAAAATATACGATTAAAGTGTTTAATAATCCAAGAGTTGGAATACATAAGTTTGCAAAATAGTTCAAAAATAAAAATATTCCTAGATTGTCTGAAGATTCTTCAACCAATACTTTTAGGTAAGGTCTTCACTGCTTTCATCTCCCCCTTGATCATTTGGTTCACCTGTAAATTCAACAAGAACCAAAATAGTTAGAGGGTAGGAAAAAGAAAAATATTGTCTTCTCAATATCACTATTATTGCACTATATATTAACACCAATAAAATAATATAAGTACTTAGAAGACAAAACAAAAGATGAAATTGGCATTGCCACTTCAGAAAATCAAGCTACAAAAAAGAACCAGAAGTCCAAGTATGCAAAATGTTACACCAAAAGAAAAGTCACCCTCAAAATGTTACACCAAAAGAAGTCCAAGTATGCAAAATATACGATAAAGGAGGGCAGTGCATGCATCAATGTTGGATCTTGAGACTTATTTCGACAAGTATTGGCTCCTCACCCTCAAACTGGTGTGTTTGGGCCACCAACCCATCACACTGGTTGCAAAATCATGCCTGCCACTGCAACTTTACATTCTCTATTGGAGCATAGATACTTAGCTTTTTACTTAGAAATGTGAAAGAGAGTATGGTCAGAAAAGGACAGCATAAGGACAGCTAAAACTGTGTTAGAAAAAAAGATACAAGTCAAATCAATGGTCCCAATTGTGTCAAATATTGACCTTGAACCCGACAAACCACAAACGAGGTCGTCATAACTTTTCTCTAAGATAGAAGCAGCTTGATCCAACAACTTCGACACATATTGACTCAGAGTGGCAAGGCAAGTCACAATTTCTTCTCCTAGCCTAAGAGTGAACAGCACATGAAGCCAACACAAATAGAAAGATTAATGAAGGCATTCCATTGGAAGCAAGAGATGAAACTTAAAAGCAGAGGGCAAAAAGACAATGCCAATAATTAGTTCCGTCGATGATATACCAGTATGGAAATCAATGTATTAACATCATTATCAGAGATAATTACTAAGACTAAGACTGAATCACAAGTAAGAAACAACAACAACAACAACAACAATGTGACGATCCAAAGGGGTCATCACTTGTTTTCTTACCATCCTGTACTGTCGAGGCCTTGAAAACCTCATCTAGGGTTGCCTCGATGTGCGTGCGCAGTCCGAGCGTGTAGCCGGAAAGCTTAAATATGAATTCTGTGAGAAAAATGCTAATTTTTGATATTAAACTTAATAAATTTGACTTCGGTCAATATTTTGGGTAAACGGACCCGAACCCATGATTTGACGGTCCCGGAGGGTCTGTAGGAAAATATGGGACTTTGGCGTATGCCCGGAATCGAATTCCGAGGTTCCAAGTCCGAGAAATGAATTTTTGTGTGAAATTGTTTTCTGAAAATAACTAAGGAAATTGGAAATGAAATGCGATTAGAAGACTATGGTATCGGGCCCGTATTTTGGTTCCGGCGCCTGGTACAAGTCTTATATATGATTTAAGCACTTTCTGTAAAGTTTGGTTGAAAACGGACGTCGTTTGACATGTTTTGAACTTAAAATGGGAATTTGATGTTTTATGAAAATTTGGAAGAAATCATGAGTTTTGAGGCTTGACTCGATGTATATGATGTTATTTTGGCGATTTGATCGCACGGATAAGTTCGTAGGATGTTTTTGAGGTTGTATGCATATTTGGTTTGGAGCCCCGAGGGCTCGGGTGAGTTTTGGATAGGTGTCCGATTGCATTTTTGAACTTGAAAAAAATCTGGTATGATGTCTTCTGTGATCTTCGTATTTGCGAAGATGAGCCTTACAATTGCGAGCTCGCAAATAAGAACTATGCACCGCAATTGCGAAGCCTTGGGCCTAGGCATATGATCGCAAATGCGATCCAATTTCTCGCAAATGCGAAATTAGGCTGATCGCAAATGCGAACTTTATATTCGCAAATGCGAAATCTGGCAAAATAGTAAGGGTTCGCAAATGCGAACCCAGCTTCGCATTTCCCACATTTGGTCGGGGTTCGCAATTGCGAACCCCAGTTCGCAATTGCGATATCTGAGACCCAGCAATTTCATACTTAGTCGAATTTCCACCATTTTTCACCATTCTTTCAAGACCCAAACCCCATAGGCGATTTTTCAAGGACGAAACTTCTTCCAAATCATTTGTAAGTTGATTTTTA